TGAGCCATGGCCACTGGGCCTGCGCGTCCGGAGCCTGTGCTCCGCAGTGGGAGAGGCCACAACAGTGAGAGGCCCGCGTACAGAATAATAAAAAAAAAAAAATGGAAAGCTTTTATGATGTTTGCTATATTGAAAAAAAACCAGATACCGTTTATTGGAGTAAGGAAGAATCTTTTTTTCTTTAGGAAGATTATTTTTATTCCCAGTTTGCTGAGTTTTTAGCATAAATGTTTTGAGTTTTTTAAATCCTTTATCATCATCTAATGAAATGATCATATGATTTTCCATCTTTAATTTGTTAATGTGGCAAATGCATTGTTTCTAGTGTTAAACTAACCTTGCGCTGTTGAAGACAATTCTTCATGAGGTATTATCCTTGTTATATATATTTTACTCTCCTGCTGTTTTTCTCTAGACTTCTCCATGTCCTCTCCATTCCTTCAAAACCCTGCTGGGATACCACTTCCTTTTGAAAGCCTTGCAGGATGACCCCAGCTATATTTGACTTCTCACTCTACTCACAAAACCAGTGGAACATTGCCTCCCCTGGTAGCTTCATTGTAGCTATATTGTCACCTTCTATCCCCTTGTCTTCTCTCCTGGACTGTAACCCCCTGGAAGGCATCTTTGTGTTCTCTTCTCAGCCTGCTTCCTCCTCCCAGGACCCAGAGCAGAGGTGATATTGAGTGTAACACCAAGGATGAGGCCATGGGCTCTGGGGTGAAGCTGCCTGGGCTCACATCTCAGCTTGGCCACTTGCTAGCTGTGGGATATAGGGCATGCCACCTGGCCTCCCTGAGCCCATCAGTTAAATAGGAAGAATAATAATACCTGTCTCATAGAGTTGTGGTGAGAATGAAATGATATAAGTGAACCACTTAGTACAGATTCGGGCACGTAGTATTTTTGCTATCTTAGTCTATAGCACGTAGAGGACTGGGGTTGGGGAGCATGAGGGGGATCGAGCTTATGAGAGCAGAGTCCTCTAACTTAGCCTGGGAGTCAGAGAAGGCTTCTTGGAAGAGATGATGCCTAAGGTGGTCCTGCAGGGCAAATGAAGGATGGCAGTGGGGGAAGGGCAGAAGGTGTGGGGAAGAGTTCTTTCAGATAGAGGGAGAAGAAGGTGCAAAAGAATATACTATGAGAGGAGAAAGAATATAACATGCTTTAGAAATTAGTAGTACTTAAGTGTGGCCAAAACGGAATAGGTGGGCAGCGGGGAGGGCAAAGTGATGTGAAGAGGTAAGTAGGAGTCCGATGAAGAGTCTGTCATACTATACTAAGGAATGGAGACTTTATCTTCAGATAATTCTCACCCCCTTTTTGGCACACCTAACACCTATTAGAGTAGGTGTCTCTTACTCCAGGAAGCCTTCCCTGATGTCACGCAAATCTGTGTTGGATATTCCCTCTGTTCTACCGTAGCCCTCTCCCCTCATCACAGCTAACTTCTTTCCATGATAATTGTCTGTTCAAGCATCATCTCTCTCCTTCATACCAAAAGCTGTAAGAGGGCAGGGAATGGGTTTTAACGTTTCTGTAACACAAGGCTAGTAGAGTACCTGGCACGTGGTAAGTGCTCAATAGATATTTATTGGATGAATGAACAAATAAATAGAACATCTAGGGAAGGAGAGAAAATTGTGACCAGCAAAATGCCTGGCACATAATTGGCCCTTAGAAAAGTATTTAATCTTTTATTGTGCATCAGCTTTATCATCTGGAAAATGGGAATAAAAATAGAAACTACCTCAAAGGGGTATCATGGGTCTGTGAATTGCTTAACCTAGGATCTGACATTTAGTGTAAAGGCTAATTCTCAGCATGTTAAACACATAATTCTCATACAAACAGTGAGCATGGGTCAAAATTTCATTTAACTCATTAGTAAGGGGGCTAGCAGGATGACAAACTAGTTCAAAACAGAATATAAAAACTGGGTTTTTTTAAATTTTAATTTTATTTTTTTATACAGCAGGTTCTTATTAGTTATCTATTTTATACATATTAGTGTATACCTGTCAGTCCCAATCTCCCAGTTCATCCCACCACGGCCACCTCCCCCTCCCAAAAACTGGGGGTTTTATAGTCACTGAGAAAGAAAAATATTGAAATGATATTGCTAAATTATATTCAAATGGATTAAGGTCCTACAGGGTAATAAAACCATAACCTTAAGGATTATCTTCTCTACTAGACAGAAAAGGAAATCATCCCGTCCTATTACTTAACAGAATTGTGAAATGTCTGGGCCCTAATCAGTTGTGTAAATAATGTTAAATTGCTCTTCAGAGGCAGATGACTCTTAAGTAGACTTGCTGATCAGTGCTTTATTGTGACATCAAAAGGTCACATAATCATCTTTTTACTTTAGTAACATGTTTTAGATAGTTTTTCTTAACACTGGTAAGTTTAGTTTAGTAGATACTGTTATTATTATAAGGCTCTCAATAAATATTTGCTGAAAGGATTTTCATTCTGTTAGGCTTTTTTCCTTCTCCCCAGCATCAGAGTTGGGACCTACAGAACTGGTAGACTGAGTGGGGAACCCTGCAGGACCCTATGCTCTTCCTTCCTTCAGCCTGGGGTGTTGTAATGCCAATTCTGTCTCATTAAATAGGCAGAAGAAGTATCTGCTTTGGGCATCAGCAAAGCAGGCACATATCTCTCCCCTCCATAAGAACATGTATATATATTTTTGAAAGAACTGGATATTTCCAAAAAGGCAGTGCAGTAGGCAACATGGAAAAAAATCAGAAATTTTGGGGACCACTATCCATTTATTTTTTTTCAATTTAGAAAATTGTGGTAAAATACATATAACATAAAATTTACCATCCTAACCATTTTAAGTGTACAGTTCAATGGCATTAAGTACAGTCACATTGTTGTGCAACGATCACCACCATCCATCTGCAGAACTCTTTTCATCTTGCAAAACTGAAACTCTGTACCTATTAAACAGTAACACATTGCCTTTCCCCCAGCCCCTGGCAACCACCCTCTACTTTCTGTCTCTATGCATTTGACTACTCTAGGTACCTCATATAGATGGTGTCATACAACATTTGTTCTCTTGTGGCTGGCTTATTTCACTTAGCATCATGTCCTCAAGGTTCATCCAAGTTGCACCACGTGTCAGAATTTCCTTCCTGTTTAACACTGAATAATATTCCATTGTATTTATATCACATTTTGTTTATCCTGTTATCCATTGACGGATGCTTGCATTGCTTCCATCTTTTGGCTATCACCTCCCTTTATTTTATAGAATAAGATTATTTTTGTTTTGAATTGCATATGAGGGATGGATACCATTTTCAAGGCTTGAGATCTCAAAGATTATAATCTGGCTCACGGCCTGGGACTAACCAGACTATGAGACCATCTGTGGGTGGTCATTTCTTGATTTCGTACTTTTGCCTAAATATAACCAGGATGACTAAGTTTCTCTAGGCAGATTTAGCCTAGAGAATGTTTACATGGAATATGAGCATTAAAAACGTGTTCTAGGGCTTCCCTGGTGGTGCAGTGGTTGAGAGTCCGCCTGCCGATGCAGGGGACACGGGTTCGTGCCCCGGTCCGGGAAGATCCCACATGCCGCGGAGCGGCTGGGCCCGTGAGCCATGGCCACTGAGCCTGCGCGTCCAGAGCCTGTGCTCCGCAACGGGAGAGGCCACAACAGTGAGAGGCCCGTGTACCGCAAAACAAACAAACAAACAAACAAACAAAAACGTGTTCTAGGGCTCTGACGTGCTCTAGATTTTGTATATACTGGGGACGGGAAATTCGAGCATTTCTACAAAGCAACAGATGGGAAATTTCCCAGGAACAAACTAGCTATCTCTTGGCAGTCCAAAAGTATGTAGTATGCAAGCTCTGCTCTGGGAGTTGAGAGAATCTGCTTGAACCACATGACCTCCAGATGCTAGAAAAGGAACTTCCAGATACTTCCCTGCTAAAAGTAGTTAAGAGTACTGGGTCAAAGGAAAACTAAAATGCCTGGGCTTCCAGCTTCAGGGAATTGAACCTTTTATTCTGACTTTCCAGCAAAAAGGAAGGGAATGGTGAATGTAGAATCGCATGAAGCTAAAGTTAGAGGATACTGCCGAAGTCAATCAGATCCCCACTTTTTTTTTTTTAAACATTTATTTAAATACTTAAAGACAGTGATATTGACTAATTAGACTTGGAATCAAATTGCCTCTGTTTCCTTTCTTCATTTTATTTTTGTAAGTCACAAATTTTCATACTTTTTGTTTTGTTTTGTTTTGTTTTGCAGTACGCGGGCCTCTCACTGTTGTGGCCTTCTCCCGTTGCGGAGCACAGGCTCCGAACGCGCAGGCTCAGCGGCCCTGGCTCACAGGCCCAGCCGCTCCGCGGCATGTGGGATCTTCCCGGACCGGGGCACGAACCTGCATCCCCCGCATCAGCAGGCAGACTCTCAACCACTGCGCCACCAGGGAAGCCCAGATCCCCACGTTTTAATTCTGTTTTGGACTTTTATTTATACAATTGTCATTAATTTCATCAATGTAGTAGAATATAGACTAGGTCTGAATCTTGGCTCTACAACTTATTCAGTGTGAGACGTTGATTATTACTAAACCTCTCTTCAATTTTTAAAATCTGTGTCTCAATTTTTAAAATCTTTAAAATGGTAATAATAATAGTATTGTGTCAGAGGATCGTGGTGAGGACGAACGTCCCAAGAACAGAGCCTGGGACATAGTAACTGCTATATAAATTCTTGCTATTATCTAGACATTTTGGCCTTCTCCTTCTCCTCTTCTTTATTATTATTATTATTCAGTTGGGAAATAATCAAATTTTATTTGGAGTGTCATCCTACAGTTTTATTCTGCTTCTTGATTGTTTCTGGAGGAAAATTTCTGCAGTTAATGTGTATTGAATTCTGCTTCTTGATTTTTTGCAATAACTCTATGAATCTGTTAACATTTTCGTTGTATGAAAGGTAGTCTCATTCTCTCATTTTCCAGATTTGGAAACTGAATCCCCAAAAGGGAAAGTGACTTGCCCAAGATCACACAGAGACAATGACTAAACCAGTAATAGAACGAAGGACTTCTGACCACGAGTCCACGGCTTGCTCCACTCGACACAGAGTTCAAGAATACTGACCTGGGGTATTAATACACTCTGCCCATCCTCCAAACATGCACAGGAAAACTTGAACACTCTGTGATTCCAGGTATTCTCCAAAAGATGTCTTTCCTTTCTAGCAAAATTTCAGGCATTTCAAGGGAAAGGTCTGTGGCTTGACTTGTAATCTTCGTTGTATACCCAGCACTGTGCTTCAAGTTCTTGAGGGCAGAAATTATTGCCTATAAGCTGGGATTATTAGGGACAGATGCTCAATAAATGGAACTAATTAACATACCCCCACTTTTAAAAAAAGAGGAATGGGGCGCAGGGAAGAGAATATTTATTAAGAAATTAATACGTTCTAGTCACTGTGCTAGAATTTTCACCACTATCCCATTTAATCCCCAGACATCCTTTGTAGCATTGTCAATTTCCAGATTTTGAATCAGGAAATTAAGGTTACTCTGAGTCTTCATGAGTAAATATTCAAGATTGACATTTCTCTGATGGACCACAACCTTTAGAATCTAGTATTATAATCACAGAGTGAGAGGTAAAGCCAAGAAGGAAGAGACCTAATACATTCCAAAAGGTTAAAAAAAAAAAAGAGTTTTTCTCATGAAAAACGATGAAATCAACCATATAAATTGTGAAAATATAAGTCATGATTGTATTTGCTCTGTGACAGTGTGGAAATGCACATTTTTATCAAGCTAGAAACAGAAAACAAAGAAAAATTATGAGTATTTCAATCTTGCTCATCAAAAGAGACTGATCATTACCAAATCCAGGCAACCTGGCCCCACTCTCCCTGCAAACATTTAATCCACATGAGAGTTTTGAATGGAGACAAGAAGATAAGTGACAGGACTTATGTAGAGAAGGACACTTAGGCCTGGCTGAGTTTCATAGCATGGAAGGGCCCAGACCCAAAAAATGCTTAGTACCTATTATGCTAGGCTGAAAAAAAAACAGCCCCCTAAAGACAATTAGGTCCTAGTTCCTGGAATCTTTAAGTGTACCCTGTTTGGAAAAAGGGTCTTTGCCGATGTGATCAAGTTAAGGATCTTGAGATGGGAGATTATCCTGTATTATCTAGGTAGGGCCCAAATGCAGTCACAAGTGTCCTTAGAGAGGCAGAGGAAGATATGATACTAATCCACAGAGGAGGAGGTGATGTGAACATGGAAGCAGAGATTGGAGTGACACGGCCACAGGCCAAGGAATGTCAGTAACATTCTCTTTTCCCTGGGAAGCTGGAGAGGCAAGGAGCAGATTCTTCCCTAGAGGCTCCGGGCCTGCCAATATCTTGATTTTGGCCCAGTGAAACTAATTTCAGACTTCTGGCCTCCAGAACTGTGAGAGAATACATTTCTGTTGCTTTAAAACACCAAGTTTGTGGTAATTATAATTTGTTAGCATAGTGACAGAAAACTAACACCGTGCCCCTGTGTTGGTATCCAAGTCTCAATTTACTGTCATCTCCTTTCCCTTCCATCTGGCACTTCCAAGAAGAGTTTCCAAAAGCATCCTAATATCTTTTGTTTGTCTCTTCTGAAAGGCACTGTGACAAGCACTTTATATGCAGTAGCTCACTGAACCCTCATAATCCTATTAGGTGAATATAATACTAATATTATTTCTATTTTACAGATGAGTAAAATGAGGCTCAGAAGAAAAGCTGGTGGGGCCACACTCCTAACAGGTGATGGAGCTAGTATTCCAACTCAGGTCTGCTCAAATCTAAAGCCCACACTTTTAACTTCTGCACTGTACTACCTCAAGGTCTCTGGGGTAAGTCAAGGTTTTAATTCTCGTATCTACTGGCGAAATTTCAGGATATATATATCTGAGGGATATTTTCAAGGACTTTGGACCAAAGGAGACCAAACATGCCTTCATTGCAGCTCAAGGCACTGAGCTGCCATTTTTTAGCAAAGAGCAGAGGATGGCCAATCCTAGCATCACAGAAAGCTCAGGTTAAAAGGACCTCAGAGATCCATTTGTTCAAATTCCTCACTTTACATATGAAGAAGCTGGGCTCACAGAAGGGGAGGGCCCTGCCTAGGGTCACATATAGAGGCTTTAAGTGATAAAGTTGGGATTGAAGTCCTGGTCGCACTTCAAATCTAGGGTTGATTCTACTGCACATCACACTGCCCAAAGTCATGTGTGTTGCTATGGTCCAAAGGGCTGACAAAACTCTGGGAACTTGCAAGAAGGAAAATGGAAAAATGGGTCACAACCTTCTCAAAGCTATAGTGTCCCAGGTCTTCATTCTCACATGGGGTAACCTACAGGGCTGCAGCCCTGAGGTGCAGGGCTGAGATGGTCCAGGGTATTGGGAGGGGGTAGCTTCTGCATTGGGACGGAGACTGAAGAGACCATGATGGTGTGACCATGTCCCAAATGGGAGGAAAGGAATGTCAAGATTTCATGAATTCCTAGAACTGAAGGGATTTCTGAAAATCTTGAGAGTAGCAGCTTTGGAAGTAAGTTGTCTCTTACATGATTAGCAAGGAACTCGTTTGGGAAACTCAATAAAATTCTAATTATGATAAAGGCTGAACATTCTTCATCCACCTTTAAATACATCCACTAATAAATATTGAGGCCCCACTGGTCTCTGCCTTCATGCTTAATAAGGTGGTTTTAAAAAAAGATAATGTATTTAAAGTACCCATACAGTCTTAGTACACAAGTCCTTTAAAATGCTGTTGCTAAGAAAGAAATTGAAGATGTCACAAACAGATGGAAAGATACACTATGTTCTTGAATTGGAAGAATTTATATATATATATATATTTTTTTTTTTCTTTTTCTTTTTGCGGTACGTGGGCCTCTCACTGTTGTGGCCTCTCCCATCGCGGAGCGCAGGCTCCGGACACGCAGGCTCAGCGGCCATGGCTCACGGGCCCAACCGCTCCGTGGCATATGGAATCTTCCCGGACCGGGGCACGAACCCGTGTCCCCTGCATCGGCAGGCGGACTCTCAACCACTGCGCCACCAGGGAAGCCCGGAAGAATTAATATTTTTAAATGGCCATACTACCCCAGGCAATCTATAGATTCAGTGCAATCCCTATCAATCTACCAATGGCATTTTTCACAGAACGAGAGCAAATAATCTTAAAAATTGTATGGAAACACGAAAGACCCTGGATAACCAAAACAATCTTGAGAAAGAAGAACAGAGCTGGAGGAACCATTTGCTCTGACTTCAGATAATACTACAAAGACAGTAATCAAAATAGTATGCTACTGGCATAAAAACTGGGACATAGATCCATGGGACAGAATAGGGAGCCCAGAATAAACCCACACACTTATGGTCAATTAATCTATGACAAAGGAGGCAAGAATATACAATGGAGAAAAGGCAGTTTCTTTAGTAAGTGATGCTGGGAAAACTGGACACTTACATGTAAAAGAATGAAATTAGAACATTCTCTAACACCACATACAAAAATAAACTCAAAATGGATTAAAAACATAAATGTAAGACCTGAAACCATAACACTCCTAGAATAAATCATAGGCAGAACATTCTTTGACATAAATCATAGCAATGTTTTTTTGGATCAATCTCCTATAGCAAAGGAAATAAAACCAAAAATTAACAAATAGGACTTAATCAAACTTAAAAGCTTTTGCATAGCAAAGGAAACCATCGAGAAAACAAAAAGACAACCTACTGAATGGAAGAAAATATTTGCCAATGATATGACCAATAAGCAGTTAATATCCAAAATATATAAACAGCTCATACAACTCAATATCAAAAAAAAAAAAAAACCAGTTAAAAAATGGGCAGAAGATCTGAATAGACATTTCTCCAAAGAGGACATGCAGATTGCCAACAGGCACGTGGAAAGATGCTCAACAATGCTAATCATCAGGGAAATGCAAATGAAAACCACAGTGAGATACCATCTCACACCTGAAGGAATGGCTATCATCAAAAAGACCACAAATAACAAATGTTGGCAAGGATGTGGAAAAAAAGGAACCTCTGTAAACTGTTGGTAGGAATGTAAATTGGTACAGCCACTGTGAAAACAGTATGGAGGTTTCTCAAAAAAAACAAAAATAGAACTACCAAATGACCCAGCAATTCCACTTCTGGGTATATATCTGAAAAAAACAAAAACACTAATTCAAAAAGATACACGCACCCCAATGTTCATAGCAGTATTATTTGCATTTGCCAAGTTATGGAAGCAAGCTAAGTGTCCATCACAGATGACTGGATAAAGAAGATGTGGTATATGTATTCAATGGAATACTACTCAGTCATAAAAAAGAATGAAACTTTTGCCATTTGCAACAACTTCGATGGACTTGGAGGGCATTATGCTAAGTCAAATAAATCAGACAAAGAAGGACAAACACTGTATGATATCACTTATATGTGGTATCTAAAAAAACCAATAAACTAGTGACTATAAGAAAAAAGAAACAGACTCAGATATAGAGAACAAACTAGTGGTTACCAGTGGGGAGAGGGAAGGGGGGAGGGGCAACATAAGTGTAGGGGATTAAGAGGTACAAACTATTACGTATCAAATAAGCTACAAGGATATATTGTATAGCACAGGGAATATAGCCAATATTTTATAATAACTATAAATAGAGTTATAAACTTTATAGATTGTGAATCACTATACTGTACACCTGTAACTTATATAATATTGCACATCAACTATACTTAAATAAAAATAATTAAATTTAAGAAATATTTTAAAAATGCTGTTGCTAAAACATTAATTAATAATAGTAGCTGTACTAGCCACTGTCTTTTAAGACACGTTGATCTCCGCTTCAGAGACTACATGTCCCAAGATGCTCTTTGCTTGGGTTCCACCGCCCATTGCATTCTGGGGCTTGTAGTCCGGAAGTGAATGGATGATTCATCGGCCCGCAGGCGCAGTGCTCCTAATTCCCGGAAGAACCAGCAGAGGGTCGCAGGATGTGCGGGTGGCTGCGGCTGCTGCTGCAGCGGCGGCGCTGACAGGGCACGCGCTCTATGCCTTTCCGGCTGCTCGTCCCGTTTGGCCTCCTGTGTGCGCTGCTACCCCTGCACCATGGTGCGCCCGGCCCGGATGGCACCGCGCCCGACCCCGCCCACTACAGGTGAAGGGGGTCAGGCTCCCCGCCCTTCCATAGTTGGGGAATGGGAATCCCAGACCTGGTCCCTTCCCCATTCCCTCCATCCCAGACCACCCCCCCGACCTGCTGGGACCCCGCCACTGGGCTCCTCGCAGAAATCAGGTGGTGATTACCATTTTCCGCCCTAATTCTTGTCCTTTCCTCTGTCTGGTTTCGTTTGGTGGCCCTCTGACATTTCTCGTACCCCGCACCAGGGCGCGAGTCAAGGCCATGTTCTACCACGCCTACGACAGCTACCTGGAGAATGCCTTTCCCTACGACGAGCTGCGACCTCTCACCTGTGACGGGCACGACACCTGGGGCAGGTAGTGCGAGCGGAGGAGCAAGGGGGCGGCCTGGGTCTGGCAGTCCGGTCCTAGGCGGGCGGGTATGCTGGAGCTGGTGGCTTCATGATCTCACCGGTTCCAGAAAAACCTCCTAGCTAGCGTGGGGTCGCGTTCCCCCTAATTCAGGCCAGCACCACCAGGATCCACCCAGCCTCCTGGGAAGTTGGATTCCCATAGTGGAAAAAGGCTGGGTTAGCCTGGTGGTCTGGACCTCCGGGCTCTGGCCACAGCAGTGACAGACACCAGCTGTTAGGACTTGGGCAAATCTCTGGAGGCTTAGGATATGTGGAAGGGCTTCAAAAAGTCAGAAGACCCAACCCTTTCATGTTATAAGTGGGCAAACAGGCCTAGGAGGGGATGTAACTCTCCTAAACATGAAATTTCAGAGCCTTTGTTGTTAGTGTAACTGAAACCCACTTCCCCCATTACCCTCACATCCCTGACTGCTTCTTGAGATCTCAGCTCAAACTGTCACCTTAGCATCAGTTCCCCTAAATACCCACCCCGACAGGTCACTCTCACAAACCACCCTTTTTATTTTCTTCGTAGCACTTCTCACTCTTATACTGTCATTTTCACTTATGTGTTAGTTTGTCTTTCTCACTTCCACTAGAAGAAAAATCTGTGAGAGGTGGAATTCTCTGTCTTGTTCCTTGCTGAGTAAGTGAAGAATCATTGCATTTAGCTGAAGCTAACCTTGATTAAACACTGTGCTAAGCATTTTACTTGTGTCATCTCATTTAATTAACACCCCTAGGAGTTAATTGCTGTTATCTCTGTTTTACAAATGAATATGCTAGGGACTGGAGAAATTAAGCTCAACACAAATTGTGCTGGTTTTCGTTTTTTAGTTGAAAAAAGTAATACAAGTAAATGGCAAATTCAAGCAGTCCAATATCATATAATAAAATAAATATCTCCCATACCCTAGAACTCCAACCACTGTTAACCTTCTTGTGTATCCTTCCAGAAATATTTTTCGTTTATACCATCATATAGGTATGTATATGTGTATCTTTTAAAATAACCTTTTAAAGGTGTAACTTATATAAAATGCACCCATTTTAAGTGTGTAGTGACCACCATCACAGGATAGAGAACATTTCTGTCACACTGGAAAGTTCCCTGGTGGCCCTTTATAATAATAAATAAATAAATAATAATAAATAATAATCCCTCCACCACCACTGGCCCAAAAAACCGCTAATCTGCTTTCTGTCTATATTGTCTCTTTTTGAAAAATGCAGTTAGAATATGACACACGACACTGCCTACTCTGTACCTTGTCTTTTTCATTTAACTATATAATTTGAATGTCTTCCCCTTAGCCCATAGAACTCTTGATAACAATCTTTTTGACCACCTCATAGTTTCGCATTGTTTGAATGTATTACAGTTTGGTTAATCACTTTTCAACTGGTATACATTTGGGTTATTTCTAGCTTTTTGCTGTTCTAAAAACAATATTGCCATGAGCATTCTCAAGGCTACAGTTCTGTGCACTGCGAGATAAATTCTTAGATGTGGAAAGCCTGCGCTCTGAGATACAATCTTATACTGCCTCCCTATGGTGGAGAAGAATGCCAGAGAATATAGGCAATGTGTTTAACTACAGTCGAGCTATTTGCATGAGATGTTATACATCAGCCCACCTCCCAGGTACGTTAAATGGGTCAGAGGTTCCCGGCGATTTTCACGATGGCTTCTCTGTTGTGATTTCAGGTGGGAGTGGCAGAGGCATCGCTGTGCTTCACTTATTAGTTTTTGGGGTCTCTGATCTGGGGCAGCCTTAATAACTGGTGTTTGTTTGATTTTCTTACTAAGCAGCTGGGGTTTTTGTCCTTTTACAGTTTTTCTCTGACTCTTATTGATGCTCTGGACACCTTGTTGGTAAGTGTCTCATCTATTCCTTTTCCTCTCCAACACTGCATGACCAATATCCTTCTTCTTTTGGTAGCTTGACTGTGGGTGAAAAATGAATTCTTCACCTGGGCTTTTTATTTTCATCTTTCATTTTGATCTTTAATTTGGGGGCAGTGGAAAGCCAGTGGAATTTTTTTCAAGAAGAGGGTAGGAAATGAGATTCCTGTTTTGAGAAGATCACTGGCTACAATGTGGAGAAAGATTCATGTCATCATTTAACAAACATTTTATGAGTAATTGCTTCATGCACTGTGCTCAGCCCTCTGGGGGAGTGCAGGAATGAGGCAGGCTCCTGCCTATGCAAAGATTCTCCTAATGTGGAAAGAAATAGATCCCCTGAGAGTTGTGGGGATAAACTTGCTGGAGTCTTTTAAAGGAGGAAGAGGTTAATTTCAGCTGGAGGAATCGAAGGATTCCTAGAGAAGGTGAGATTTAGATAATCGAAGATAGGTTGGATTTGGAAATGGGAAGACACAGAGTGAGATTTCTGGTAGAGGGGACAGCATGTCTGAGGGCAGAAAATCAGGGAATAGTGGGTACTGAAGTCGACAGAAGAACAGTGAGAGACATGGTTAGAAGGATAGATTAGGTCTAAATCATAGAGGGCTTTGAGTGCTGAGATAGTCAGGATTGTTTCAGCTGCAAGTGATCAAACTGATTTAGACAGGAAGGAAATTTACTGAGTCAGATAACTAAAAAGTCCAGGTAAAGACTGACCTCAAACCCAGCTGGTTCCAGACATTTAAATAACGTCATTAGGAATCTCTTTCTCCATCTCTTATTTCTACTTTCCTTGCTGGCTGTATTCTCAGGCTCTCCTTAAGCTGGCAGGGTAGCCAATGGTAACTCCAGACGCACATCCCACTCATTTAGTAACCTGTGTGTGGAGAGAATTAGTCCTTTTCCATTAATTCCGTGGACTGAGTCTCACTGATCTGGCTTGGGATATACATCTATCCCTGAATCAATCAGTTGGCCAAGGGGTATAGTACGTTGGCTGGTCCAGGTGAAGTGCCCATTCTTGCAGCTGAAGGGATGGAGTTAGCTTCTTCAAATTACAGGAGTGACTGTGGAAGAAGGGTGATTCCTCAAGGGAAAATTGGAACACTGATATCAGAATAAAAGGCATCAGGACTGCATTTGACTGATGGTTTAAACAAAAGGGTTTAATTTTCTCAAGTATAAGAAAATCTGAATGAAGGTAATTTCTAGCATTGGATCAGCTGCTCAGCTGTGCCATCAGAGACCCCATGCTCTTTGTATCCTTCCATTCTACCATCATTAGTATACTGACTTTCATTCTCATGCTTAGTACCTCATGGCCTAAGATGGCTGCCACAGCTCCAGAAATCAAGTCTGCTTTCAAAGCAGAAAGAAAAAGAGTAAAAGCCATGCCAACTGTGTCTTGTCCCTTTCTGTTATGAAAACAGGAGCTTTCTGAGAAGTGCCCCTAGTAGACTTTACAAAGCTCAGAATTGACTGAGTAACACAATCACCCAGTAGCAAATGAGACTGAGAAAGCAAATATGTGGATTTCTAGCCTCTATGGCTGGGAGCTACAAGGGTAAAGAAGATTGAGAATCAATGTTGGGCCAACCAACCTGCAGTATTTTCTATAAGGCTGAATGTGACAAGGTTAAAAACAATAAATATCCACTGTAAATGTCAAGCTAAGATTTCCTTATGTGGTCTACAGTCTTTATATTGGTTTCATTTAAATGAGTACATAAAAATTCTTAAATTGGTACCAAAGAATTTACTTTACCAGTCTCTTGATACTGGGTCTGTGTGATTTCCAGCTCTCAGTGTTTTCTCCTGTTACCAGCAGTCCTAGAACAGAAACTGTAGGTCTGAAGTTGAATAAGTAGGATTCACACCAGCATAGGATCCTAGACTCTGAATCTAGCATCTTCAGTGCCCACAAGCCTGAGAGCCTCACTGTCAGGTCTCTCTTTCCTTCAGATTTTGGGGAATGTCTCAGAATTCCAAAGAGTGGTTGAAGTGCTCCAGGACAACGTGGACTTTGATGTTGATGTGAATGCCTCTGTGTTTGAAACCAACATCCGAGGTGAGGGCTGCCTTCTAGGGCCCTTGGAAGAAAGGAGAATGTGGAATTTTGGCTTCTGTGTAAACCAAGAGGTGATAAACAGGATCTTAAGTGCCAGCCTTGCCAGGGCACTTGACTCAAGCCAGATTGACAGAGTCTTCCCTCCTGTAGGGTTGGGTAGGGAGGTCTCGGGATCCCTCATCAGTTTCAGACATGAAAGTGAGCAGGGGACAGAGAAAAGACTGAAAAGAAATATGCCAGGATTACTCACATATTTAACATATATTTGGTACCAGGCTTTCAGCCAAGAGCAAGAAAGATGTAATCCTTGCCTTCTTGTAGCTTATTGCCTATTGAAAGTTTGTTAGAACTTTCTGCATTGTTGATGGAAATATTTTATATCTGTGTTGTCCAGTCCAGTAGCCACTAGCTACATGTGGCTATTGAACATTTTGAAAGGTGGCTACTGCAACTGAAGAACTGAATTTTAAATTTCATTTAATTTTAATGGATTTAAATTTAAATAGTGACATGTGGTTACTAATTACTGTGTTACATAGTGCAAGGCTAGGGTATTAGTTTCCAAACCTGGCTGCCCATCAGAAGCATTTGGGACATTTTAAAAAGTTCAGCTGTGTAGACTCCACTCTAAATCTAATGAATTGGGATCTCTGGGTTGGGTCCCACAGTCAGTATTTTTAGCAGGTTCCCAATGAATCTTTTTTTTTTTTTTAATGAATCATTCATTGTATTGAGGTAAATTTACATATACTGAAATGCACAGATCTACACATTTCAATGAATTTTGACCCAGTGATTCTTTTTTTTTAAATTAATTAACTAACTGTTTATTTTTTTTGGCTGCGTTGGGTCTTTGTTGCTGCGGGTGGGCTTTTTCTAGTCGTGGCGAGTGGGGACTACTCTTCGTTGCAGTGCATGGGCTTCTCATTGCAGTGGCTTCTCTTTGTTGCAGAGCATGGGCTCTGTGCACGTGGGCTTCAGTAATTGTGACTCGCGGGCTTAGCTGCTCCGCGTCATGTGGGATCTTCCTGCACCAGGGTTCGAACCCGTATCCCCTGCATTGGTAGACGGGTTCTTAACCACTGAGCCACCGGGGAAGTCCCTTATTTATTTATTTATTTTAAAACATCTTTATTGGAGTATAATTGCTTTACAATGGTGTGTTAGTTTCTGCTTTATAACAAAGTGAATCAGTTATACATATACATATGTTCCCATATCTCTTCCCTCTTGCGTCTCCCTCCCTCCCACCCTCCCTATCCCACCCCTCTAGGTGGTCACAAACCACTGAGCTGATCTCCCTGTGCTATGCGGCTGCTTCCCACTAGCTATCTATTTTACGTTTGGTAGTGTATATATGTCCATGCCACTCTCTCACTTTGTCACAGCTTACCCTTCCCCCTCCCCATATCCTCAAGTCCATTCTCTAGTAGGTCTGTGTCTTTACTCCCGTCTTACCCCTAGGTTCTTCATGACCCTTTTTTTCTTTTTTCTTTTTCTTAGATTCCACATATATGTGTTAGCATACTGTATTTGTTTTTCTCTTTCTGACTTACTTCACTCTGTATGACAGACTCTAGGTCCATCCACCTCACTACAAATAACTCAATTTCATTTCCTTTTATGGCTGAGTAATATTCCATTGTATATATGTGCCACATCTTCTTTATCCATTCATCCGATGATGGACACTTAGGTTGCTTCCTTGTCCTGGCTATTGTAAATAGAGCTGCAATGAACATTTTGGTACGTGACTCTTTTTGAATTATGGTTTTCTCAGGGTATATGCCCAGTAGTGGGATTGCTGGGTCGTATGGTAGTTCTATTTTTAGTTTTTTAAGGAACCTCCATACTGTTCTCCATAGTGGCTGTATCAATTTACATTCCCACCAACAGTGCAAGAGTGTTCCCTTTTCTCCATACCCTCTCCAGCATTTATTGTTTCTAGATTTTTTGATAATGGCCATTCTGACCGGTGTGAGGTGATATCTCATTGTAGTTTTGATTTGCATTTCTCTAATGATTAATGATATTGAGCATTCTTTCATGTGTTTGTTGGCAATCTGTATATCTTCTTTGGAGAAATGTCTATTTAGGTCTTCTGCCCATTTTTGGATTGGGTTGTTTGTTTTTTTGTTATTGATCTGCATGAGCTGCTTGTAAATTTTGGAAGTTAATCCTTTGTCAGTTGCTTCATTTGCAAATATTTTCTCCCATTCTGAGGGTTGTCTTTTGGTCTTGTTTATGGTTTCCTTTGCTGTGCAAAAGCTTTTTAGTTTCATTAGGTTCCATTTGTTTATTTTTATTTCCATTTCTCTAGGAGGTGGGCCAAAAAGGATCATGCTGTGATTTATGTCATAGAGTGTTCTGCCTATGTTTTCCTCTAAGAGTTTTATAGTGTCTGGCCTTACATTTAGGTCTTTTATCCATTTTGAGGTTATTTTTGTGTATGGTGTTAGGGAGTGTTCTAATTTCATACTTTTACATGTATCTGTCCAGTTTTCCCAGCACCACTTATTGAAGAGACTGTCTTTTCCCCACTGTATATTCTTGCCTCCTTTATCAAAGATAAGGTGACCATATGTGCGTGGATTTATCTCTGGGCTTTCTATCCTGTTCCATTGATCTATCTTTCTGTTTTTGTGCCAGTACCATACTGTCTTGATTACTGTAGCTTTGTAGTGTAGTCTGAAGTCAGGGAGCCTGATTCCTCCAGCTCCATTTTTTGTTCTCAAGATTGCTTTGGCTATTTGGGGTCTTTTGTGTTTCCATAGAAATTGTGAAATTTTTTGTTCTAGTTCTGTGAAAAATGCCAGTGGTAGTTTGATAGGGATTGCATTGAATCTGTAGATTGCTTTGGGTAGTAGAGTCATTTTCACAATGTTGATTCTTCCAATCGAAGAACATGGTATATCTCTCCATCTATTTGTATCATCTTTAATTTCTTTCATCAGTGTCTTATAATTTTCTGCATACAGGTCTTTTGTCTCCTTAGGTAGGTTTATTCCTAGATATTTTATTCTTTTTGTTGCAGTGGTAAATGGGAGTGTTTTCTTAATTTCACTTTCAGATTTTTCATCATTAGTGTATAGGAATGCAAGAGATTTCTGTGCATTAATTTTGTATCCTGCTACTTTACCAAATTCATTGATTAGCTCTAGTAGTTTTCTGGTATCATCTTTAGGATTCTCTCTATATAGTATCATGTCATCTGCAAACAGTGACAGCTTTACGTCTTCTTTTCCGATTTGGATTCCTTTTATTTCTTTTTCTTCTCTGTTTGCTGTGGCTAAAACTTCCAAAACTATGTTGAATAATAGTGGTGAGAGTGGGCAACCTTGTCTTGTTCCTGATCTTAGTGGAAATGGTTTCAGTTTTTCACCATTGAGGACGATGTTGGCTGTGGGTTTGTCATATATGGCCTTTATTATGTTGAGGAAAGTTCCCTCTATGCCTCTTTCTGCAGGGTTTTTATCATAAATCGGTGTTGAATTTTGTCGAAAGCTTTCTCTGCATCTATTGAGATGATCATATGGTTTTTCTCCTTCAATTTGTTAATGTGGTGTATCACGTTGATTGATTTGCATATATTGAAGAATCCTTGCATTCGTGGAATAAACCCCACTTGATCATTGTGTATGATCGTTTTAATGTGCTGTTATATTCTGTTTGCTAGTATTTTGTTGAGGATTTTTTATCTATGTTCATCAGTGATATTGGCCTGTAGTTTTCATTCTTTGTGACATCTTTGTCTGGTTTTGGTATCAGGGTGATGGTGGCCTTGTAGAATGAGTTGGAGAGTGTTCCTCCCTCTGCTATATTTTGGAAGAGTTTGAGAAGGATAGGCGTTAGCTCTTCTCTAAATGTCCCTATTTATTTTTTAATGAACACTTATTGCCTAGGTTTTACCTGTGGGATTCTTTGAGGCCCGGGTTGAATGTGGATTTTTCCAGATATATTTTTTGTTTACTCTTGCCATGTGGCTGGAGGCATTATCTGCTAAAACCACCTTAGGCTAAAGATTTGAGGTTTTCTAGACTACACAGTTAGTGTGAATTCAGTCTGTAAAACTTAGTGGGTACCAGTTTGTGGTTATTAATTCTTAGGAGAGATTTTTTTTCTTCACTTTACTTGGCATTGAGATTTGAGGTATACAGTTTTCCTTACTCTATGCTAGGGGAGGTGTGTAGGGTTTATTTTTAATTCATCTTTACACAGGGTATATAATTCTTCCAGATCCCAACTTCATGGAGGGATCTTCTATCAGACTTCCCACTCTGGGTAGGTCCTGCCTTTGTCTCTTATTCCTGGTCTGCCAGGAGGAGAGGAAAACTGAAGCTCAAGGTTACCAGTTTTTTCAGTGGGAGGGCCATTCAGGATATCTGTTTAGCCATATTTCCTGATAACCTTTGTATCTTTTTATAAGTCCTAAATATTATGTAATAAATTGAAATAGATAAATGAATAAAATCAAGGTAATGAGTATCCTCCCTTGGTCTTGGGGTGATGGGGAGACAGTGACCAAGTGCAACGAGCGTGGACTTTGGAGTCAGACAGACCTGGCCCTACCACCTACTAGATGGATGACCCTGGGCAAGTCAGTTAACCTCTCTGAATCACAGTATCTCCATCTGAAGAGGGCACAGTAGTACCTAGTGCTTGGTATACAGTAGGGACTGCAAAAAAATGATAACCTTTTTTTTTTTTTTTTTTTTTGTGGTACGCGGGTCTCTCCACTGTTGTGGCCTCACCCGTGGCGGAGCACAGGCTCCAGATGCGCTGGCTCAGCGGCCATGGCTCACGGGCCCAGACACTGCACGGCATGTGGGATCTTCCCGGACCGGGGCACAAACCCATGTCCCCTGCATCAGCAGGCTGACTCTCAACCACTGCGCCACCAGGGAAGCCCGATAACCATTATTTTTGTGACCCACCAAGAGAAAAAAAACTTCATGAACTTAACACTGTACCAGTGTGGGGGGTTAAGGACTCTTCTTTTGCTACATGGCTCCAGCCCCTTCCCAGTGAGCCACTGAACAGAGCATTAAGTTTAATTTGTACAAGGGAAAGACTGGTCCTTAGGATTCTGACACTTGCTTTTTGTACCATCTGTAGTAGTAGGAGGACTTCTGTCTGCTCACCTGCTGTCAAAGAGGGCTGGGGTAGAAGTGGAGGCTGGATGGCCCTGCTCGGGACCTCTTCTGAGGATGGCTGAGGAGGCAGCCCGGAAACTCCTCCCAGGTAAGACCCACATGGAGATGGGGCAGAGATGAAGTCCGGTAGGTCCTGCTGCTCTTGCTGGAGAAGAGAGTGGCTGTGCAGAATTATTTGCTCGTGTTGCTCACCCAAACACTTGGTATTTCTACCTCTTGGCGCCCACCATGGAAAACAGGAGAGTCCTTGGCATTTTGATGGCTAGGCTAGGATGGATGAGCTGACCTCATGAATGTCTGCGAGGAGCGCTGAAGGCCAGCCTGGTGGCTGGAAGGCTCTTGCCCTTATTTGAGTGAGTGCTTTTGCCCCCTCCCAGGCCCACACGCCACTGGAATGAAAGGGTTCCAGAGAAGAGCCTTGGTCTGAGCGTTCGGAACCTCTGGTTCTAGACTCGGCTCTGACAACCAATAGCTTGACCAAGCCGCTCTTCCTCTCCTTGGTTCAATTTCCCCGTCTATCAAATGGGAGTCATAATTCCTGCCTCCCTCTGGGGAGACGTAAAATGAGGTCAGAGAAGAGAAAGTTCTTGGAGAACCTCAAACACCACTGAGACATGAGAGGGACTTGTTTTGTAGCTGAGCCATGTCCAGGGCTGCAGGCCAAGCTGCAGTGTTTGTCCAGAGGGGCAGTAGCTGGGCTCGGCAGCATCAGCGGGACGCTGTGTTCTCTTCAGGGTGTGGTGGAGGCTCTGAGAGCTGTTCACACCCAAGCACGTTACACTGTGCTTTCCACCAACCTCTTGGCCGTCTCACTTCTCCCCTTCACCCAGGACTTGCCTCTCATCCTTGGGGAAGAGCTGAGGAGAGTGAGCGAACTGGGTTCAGGTCTCACTCACGGCCTGAATGTCTCCTTACAAACGTCATGTCCTGTGTGACTCATCCCTGGAGGGAAACTGTCTGGTTGCTCCCTTCTTTTTTTTGTATTGAGAAATATACATATTGAAAAGTGCAGTCACGCTGAGAAACAGGATTTTGTCACCTCCCCACCCCCTTTTTAATACTGCCTGACTTCTCTGAACTATCCCTTTGGGCCCTTCTTGCTTGTGACTTGAATCCTCCTTGCTTACCACTCATGTCTGCCAGATAGCAAGTTTCTCTTCTTACAGTAAAGTTGCTGGACCTTGTGGTTCTTGGAAGTTTTGACAACTTTGTGCACAGTTTGGTGACGCATAGGCTGCTTTGGGGTTGTTTGACCTTTCAGCCTGGAGAGGAAATCTCTGCCTCTGACTTGCTGTCTTAGTTCCTTGCCTTGAATTGGAAGGCACTGGGGTGAGGTGGACAGGGCTCTGGGCCCATTGCGGGGGGAAGGGGAGTGGGCATGTGATAGTCATTCCCATCCCAGCTCCGTTTGGCGCTCTCTGTGATCTCTGAGTCACTTCTTCACAAGCCTGACCTTTCCTACCTGTGAATTGAGGGTTGGACCACATTGGCAGTTTTGTGGTTTATATCCTTTTTAAAGAAGATAACATAGCCCCTGAAACTCTTTATTTAGAGCAGGGATCTTAAACTGGCTGCTCTGGGACTGTTTACAGTCTTCAGATGTGTTTTATTTGGTCAGAATGGTGTTTTAAGAAGTAGATGAATGGCTTTTTCATTGTGCCACCAGCTCCCCCACTGCCTGTGGCTTAAGCCCTGCCTGCTTCACACTAAGTTACTTGCCTGGGCTCTGAGGCATAATATAAAATAAGTAAAAGTAGAGCTGCTCTAGCTAAAGTGAGCATGTGTGGAGTGTGATACCCCCGAGCACAGCCTGCTGCTTCCCTGCTCACCACAGGCAAGAGCCCAAGGCATGAGGAGCAGTGTTTGACAGCATCTGGGTTAGGTGGCCACTGAGGGCCCTCCAGTTGTGACATTTATCCTTCTCTGGCTCAGTCTCTAGCAGATCACCCAGGAGACAAAAGGGAAGTGCTGGCCAAGGCCTCAGGCTTTGGTCCTGTGTCCACCCATGCCCACCTCCCCGCTCCTATCTGGGTTCTTAATTTTGCGATTGTTCAGCCTTTCAGACCCCCACTGGCATGCCGTATGGAACGGTGAACCTGCTTCATGGCGTGAACCCAGGAGAGACTCCTGTCACCTGCACAGCAGGGATCGGGACCTTCATCGTGGAATTTGCCACCCTGAGCAGCCTCACCGGTGACCCTGTGTTTGAAGACGTGGCCAGAGTGGCCCTGATGCGCCTCTGGGAGAGCCGGTCAGATATTGGGCTGGTAGGTCCGCTGCCACTCTTCCTGTCTAGTTCAAGTTCGCCACCTTGGCCCCTGCTTATGAGGCTCAGGGCTCTGAGCAACAAGTTGCGGTCCAGCCGAAGGAAACTAAGGGTGACCTCAGGAGCGATCCAAGGCTTAGGCTCACGACACCAAAAGTAGACCAAGCCTCCAGTTCATGCTTTGGCACAGAGGGGAGGAGAGCATGAGAGCACATCCTCTGGCAGGAAAAGGGGCCATGATAAGCTCTGGCTCCTTAAGCTTCTCTGATCTAGGGAGTGGGTCATATGCTTCATGCCCCTGACTCACTCGGTGACCTTAGATCGTCAGCCTGTCTGGCCCTCATTTTTACATATTTTTGTTTGTAAAACTGTGTTTCTTAGAACCAAAAGATTTGAGAGATGTTGAATGGCTGTTCCATGAGGAAATGATTACTGGTCAATTAAATTTGGGCAACACTATAAATAGTATCCTTTTTTTGGAGAGTCATAATGAACACGAGCAGGTTAAAGGTTATCAAATCCTATGATAAATTCATCTATTTAACTTTGCTTAACTCAACGTTTCACAAACTTATTTGACCCCAGAGTTTTTCTTTCCCCTACAAACCTACTCACCTATGGAAATTTAAGGTCGGTTTCGGCTCCTAAACTAGATGATCCAGTGAAACTAACAGTAATTGAGCCAAAGCTGTCCAGGAAATAGCACTAGATTTAGTCAGAACTGAGACTGAGCCCCAGCCTTACTATGTTGAAACTGTGTGACCCTGGCCAAGTCACTCAACCTTTCTGATCCACAGTTACTTCAGCAATAATACTGATGGATTAATACCTCCTTGCTGAGTCATTATGACTTATAAAGACTGTGTTGTCCGAAAGTGATTCAGGTGGAGGCACGTTTTATGCAAAGTCTGGTTCTAAGTCAGCTTGAAAAGTGCAACTTGTGTGAGGACTCCTTGACAGTCCCTTAAGAAGGTGCCACGCTGGAGAACTAGAGTAACCCCCTTAGTGTCCAACACAGGCAGTTTTTTCTCCAGCTCGGGAGCCATAGTGACTCCGTGACCACCCTGCCCACATCCTCTCAGCCCTTTATCATTTCCGTGCACACTGGCCTGTCTTCCAGTTGCCGTCACCCATGTCTCTTTGGCTACGGGCCTTTTCTGGTGCCTGGATCCTGCTCTGCTTGCACTTGGCTGGAAACGCCAGGTCTTAAATGCTACCCCAGAGCAGTTCTCAATCAGTGGCTGATACTGATGGGAGTTTATGGACAATCACCCTTGTTCCCCGGCCCTCGGGTGGGACCGTGCTGAGGCTCGTGCTCTACACTGACTCCCAGAGCTGCCCGGTGGGATGGTGGGCATGGTGGTAACTTGCCTGACAGCACACCCTTTAGGGCTGCCTCCCTGCCCTGCCTCACTTTTCCCCTCCTCTTCCAGAGTTTCCAGGGACTCACCGTCCAAATCAACTACTTCCTGGCTTCCTTGCTGGGGCTCTGCCCAAACTAACACAGGACAATTAGCTGTTTCTTTGAATGAGTACCAAGTGAAGTTATCAGCTTCCATCGGGGTCTAAGTTATATGGACAACATATCTCTTCATTTAAATCTTTAAAATTTATTTTTAAATGGTTCACAAGTCAAAGGATACAAAAAAGTACACAGTGACATCTGTGACCCGTCCTCCAGCTACCCAGTTCCTCTCCTTACAAGCAACTACTCTATCAGTTTTTTGGATGTCCTTCCCAAGTTGATTTATGGAAATATGGAAAGTATATCTTATGTCTTTAGACACTGGAATCGCATGCAGATTCTCAGGCTGAGAAGTCTGAGACAGATTGTGGGAACAGCACGTTCTCATCTCCCAGCTCACACTCACTCTAGACAGGGCATGAACACTCCAAGTCATTGTTCTTTTTTCAGTTTTTGACCAGTGTGTATAATTAAGTCCTCCTAAACGTGCATGAGATGTGTCTCCACTGTACATATATGCGAGAGCTGGCCATGATCCAGCCTTGCCCCCCAACCCTGTACCCCGATAGCCTGCATGTCTCCCAAGAAGCACTGGGGTGCCTGCCTTGTATCTCACGGGACAGTCAGGGGTGTGGGGACATCCTTGTTTGGTCTTGGGCCCTCCTTTGACACCAAATGTCTCTCTCCTAGGTCGGCAACCACATCGATGTGCTCACTGGCAAGTGGGTGGCCCAGGATGCGGGCATTGGGGCTGGCGTGGACTCCTACTTTGAGTACCTGGTAAAAGGAGCCATCCTGCTTCAGGATAAGAAGCTCATGGCCATGTTCCTAGGTAAAAAGGGCAGGGTAAGGGGGCTTTTCCCCATGGTTTTCCCTATTGACATGTAGTTTATTTATAAACTTTCAGTTGCTCCCAAGTGCCTACAGAATCAGCTCTGCATTCAAAACCACCATGGACTTACACTGCCCACTTGAGGCCCGCTACACCTTTTCATGCCTTCCTGCAAGAGCCAACTGAACCATGCTGGCTTCTCTATATGCAGCCTGGATTTTTATTTCCTGGCCATTGCACATGGTGTTTCCTTTGCCTAAAATACCTTTTTTCCTGCCTTTATGTGTCCAAATTCTGTCCACCCGTTAAGGCCCAGCTTAAATGTCACTTTGCCCAGAAAATAGCTTGATTCTTCCTCAGAATTTAGGGCCTTCAGAATCTTTTTTTTTTTTTAATATATAAATTTATTAATTTATTTTGGCCACGTTGGGTTTTCGTTGCTTCGCGCAGGCTTTCTCTAGTTGTGACGAGCCGGGGCTACTATTCGTTGCGGTGCACGGGCTTCTCATTGCAGTGGCTTCTCTTGTTGCGGAGCACGGGCTCTAGGCATGCGTGCTTCAGTAGTTGTGGCACGTGGGCTCAGTAGTTGTGGCTCGCGGGCTCTAGAGCGCAGGCTCAGTAGTTGTGGTGCATGAGCTTAGTTGCTCCACGGCATGTGGGATCTTCCCAGACCAGAGCTCGAACCCGTGTCCCCTGCATTGGCAGGCGGATTCTCAGCCACTGCGCCACCAGGGAAGCCCGGCATCATTTTTGCAGTCAGCTATCATCACAGTTATAGCTCTTCTAACTGAGTGCAGCATCCAGGCCTTATACTTCTGTACTCCCCACAGTGCTTTGCAGGAGGTAGCTGTAGATTAATGCCTGTTGAATAAAAGCAGTTTACCCTTCAGGCCCTTAGACACTAGTAGTAATGATACTGAGGAATTGTTGGGCACCTAATAATAATTATAGCTACCATTCATTTATTCAGCAAATATTTACTGAGTACCATTGATGTGTTAAGTTTTGTGCCAAGCACTGAACATGGACTATGTCATTTCATCCGTACAACACTGTTTGAGATTGTCTTATTTATTTGCATGTTTTTGGTACTTTGTTCATTCAGATAATGCTTATTGTGCATATTTATTATGTACTATCTTCATGTTGGGGATTCTGCAATCAACAAAACAAAGTCCTAGCTCTCATAGATTTACAGTCTAGGGGGAGTTATAAGTTCAAGTTCCCACTAGAACGCCAGCTCCCTGAGGGCTGGACTTTGTCTTATTTGCCACCCCCCAGGTGCCTGGCACCCGGTAGGCACTCAGTGAATATTGTTGAGTGAATAAATGACTGCACAGTCCCATGAGGTATATAACATTACTCTCCTCACTTTACAGATAATAAGACTGAGGCTTACGAGGAAAAAACTTGCCCGAGGTCACAGCTAACAAGTGGTAAAGCTGGAGCTGGAATTTGAGCCTGGAAGTTTGCCTCCAGAACCCATGCTCCTTCCTCTGTGCCTCCTTGCATCCTAGTCTGCTTTGAGGCTGGGCCACCCTAGGGTCTTGCAAATGTTTAAGTCCATCCTTCTGTTGCCAAAGCCTGCTTTTTGTGTCCCTCATCACTGATGTGTCCATCATCTTATCTCCTCTGCAGAATATAACAAAGCCATTCGGAATTACACCCACTTCGATGACTGGTACCTGTGGGTGCAGATGTACAAGGGGACTGTGTCCATGCCAGTCTTCCAGTCTCTGGAGGCCTACTGGCCTGGTCTTCAGGTAGGAACGATCAGAGAGGGTGGTCCTTTTTCTATGGAACCGGCAAAGCAAGCTCATTCTAATGTATGAGTCAAAAAAGTGCTTGAGCACTTTTTTTTGGAGGGGTGGATTGGGGATGGGAGAGGGGCTTAGAGTGAGACAGATTTAAAGTTCTGCCAAACTGAATTTTCCAAGGGGACCTTTAAGGTGTCAGGAACTGAACTTCCAGCTTGCTGTGGAATGTTGTACCACTTAAAGTAGACAGGGCGGTAATAGCCATTGGCAATGACCATTTCTCCACTGGACATTTCTGTCACGTATCCTCATTCTTGACAGCGGGCCTAGGAAAGGGCGTGACAGCATCTGGGACTGCTCTGTCTGCCATCATTATGTGTGTCCATTACGTGGTCTGATAGAGTTGCAGCTGGAAGGGATCTTAGAGCCCATCTAATCCAGCCCCTATGTGTCCTAAAATATTTTTAGTATTTTTATAAACAACTTCTTTTTAATCTTAAGAAATTAAGAAAAGGCAGTAACATGTAGATGGTGGTAAATTTTTCTTTTCTTTCTTTTTTTTTTTTGCGGTACGCGGGCCTCTCACTGCCGTGGCCTCCCCCGTTGCGGAGCACAGGCTCCAGACGTGCAGGCTCAGCGGCCATGGCTCACGGGCCCAGCCGCTCTGCGGCATGTGGGATCTTCCCGGACCGGGGCACGAACCCGTGTCCCCTGCATCGGCAGGCAGACTCTCAGCCACTGCGCCACCAGGGAAGCCTGGTGGTAAATTTTTAAAGCACAACAAGGAATACAATGATAAGTCTCAAGCCCCCACCCTCAGATTCTCTCCCCAATCCAGCCCTTGTTGTCAGTTTTCTGTACCTCTTTCCAGAAATCCATGTACATAGGTATATGCGTATTTATAGCACCCTTTTTTCTTTACGTAAATAAGAACATTTTTATTCTTTTTCACTGAATGTATCTTGGAGATCATTCTTTATTGATGCATAAAGATCAATTTTACTTTTTTAAACAGTTGCATATATTCCATGGAATAGATATATTGTCATTTATTTAACTTGTTCCCCATTATATACTTTTAGCCAACCCTCTCATTTTATAGATGGGGAAAGAAGCTCAGAGAGAACTTGTTGATAACATTAAATATTGCTTCAACTCTTCTAAGATCTTCAAATTTAGCTGAGTGTCCCCTAAAAGAATTTTGAAAAATTATAGAGCCCCATGCATGTTTTTAATCTTATGAGTTTAAATAGTTGCATACCATTCCTTTTTCTCCTCCAACTCATATTTCCATTCTACCACTCCAACAGGATTTTATCCTAATTATTATATTTTATGCTGAAAGCATTTTATTGTTCACCGTATCATATTTCTCTGTGACAAAATTTGTTCATATATAGAAATTTAAAATGTTTTTAAATTTCCCGTGATCATAAGCTCTGAGTATTACATTTGTTTTCTTCTGGATTTAGTTATCATTAGTATGTAACTGATTAAAACAACATTTATAGCTTACAATTTTGGATGATTATAAACCTGGAAGTAATTTATTGGAAGTGCATTTCTTAATGAGATTTTTGGGGCTTTTTAAAGTTTTTAAGTAGTTCATGTATTTGTGCATGAATAATACATGTTGCTAAAACAGAGCACTGTTAAGCATCAGTTTTATTCCTGCTTTTCATTTTTTTAGATGTAAGTGCCGCGGAGCCTATGCACATAAATAAGTAGATGGAGATGGAAGGAGTTTGATATTGTAATATCATTCAGTTCTTTGAAATCATTGAGTTAATAGATTGAACCATATAAAATTGCCAGCATCAACCATTTTTGACCTGCAAATGTGGCAGTATTTTATGGTTCACTCTTTATATGGTTAAAAAAAATCACAAATGATCTGTCATCAAAAATGATTTTTAATGATGTCTCTGCTGACAACTTGACCAGTTCCTCTTTCAATTTTTTGAAGGCAAAGAATTGAAAGCCGTCTGATTTGCAGAAGGATTTGTTACCCAGTGGTTAGAGCCATTCATTTTTCTCAACACCTACACTAATATTTTAAATTTAACCTAGTTCAGTGCTCAGGACATTTTTATATCCAAGGACAATGTTCCGCAGTAAGGCTGGAGATTGTTGGTGGGTACACCTTGCTTTTGTAAGATGGTAGGACCAGTTGTGGAAGAGATAGAATGGGTAGCCTGCCTTTGTGTTGTAAGCATCTTTTCAGGCAGATCCATTTTAGGAAAATTAAGGATCAGGAAATCTATTTCCTTAAAACTATTTGTGACTACATTCCTCTTGGAAAACCTGCTTGTACCACCCAGCCATACAACTGATCACACCCTTTGACTTTGCATGATTCTATTTCTATGCATGTTCCTCAAGAAAATAATTGACCAGGGAAAGATGCAACCTGTACATGGATATTCCCAGCAGCAAAGTTCATGACTAAGAAAAACTAGAAATGGTCCAAATGCCCAGTAATGGAAGAAAAAATAAATGATTGTATTTTTTCCTTTTTTTTAATTGTGGTAAAATACACATAACATAAAATTTACCGTGTTAACCATTTTGAGTGTACAGTTCAGTGGTATTTATATTCATGTTGTGCAGCTATCACCACCATCCATCCCCATAACTCTCTTCACCTTGTAAGACTGAAATTCTATACCTTTGAAACAATAACTCCCCATTCTGTCCTCTCCTAGCCCCTGACAACCATCATTATTATTTTGTTTAACATCTTTATTGGAGTATAATTGCTTTACAATGGTGTGTTAGTTTCTGCTTTATAACAAAGTGAATCAGTTATATATATACATATATCCCCATATCCCCTCCCTCTGCGTCTGCCTCCCACCCTCCCTATCCCACCCCTCTAGGTGGTCACAAAGCACCGAGCTGATCTCCCTGTGCTATGCAGCAGCTTCCCACTAGCTATCTGTTTTACATTTGGTAGTGTACATATGTCCACGCCACTCTCTCACTTCGTCCCAGCTTACCCTTCCCCCTCCCCGTATCCTCAGGTCCATTCTCTACGTCTGCGTCTTTATTCCTGTCCTGCCCCTGGGTTCTTCAGAACCTTTTTTTTTTTTAGATTCCACATATATGTGTTAGCATATGGTATTTGTTTTTCTCGTTCTGACTTACTTCGCTCTGTATGACAGTCTCTAGGTCCATCCACCTCATTACACATAACTCAATTTCGTTTCTTTTTATGGCTGAGTAATATTCCATTGTATATATGTGCCACATCTTCTTTATCCATTCGTCTGTGGATGGACACCTAGGTTGCTTCCATGTCCTGGCTATTGTAAATAGTGCTGCAGTGAACATTGAGGTACATGACTCATTTTGAATTATGGTTTTCTCAGGATATGTGCCCAGCAGTGGGATTGCTGGGTCATACCACCATTATGTTTTGTGTCTTTATGATTTTGACTACTTCAGGTATCTCATATCAGTGGAATCATACAGTATTTGTTTTCTTGTGGCTGGCTTATTTCATTTAGCATAATGTCCCTCAAGGTTCATGCTTGTAGCATGTTTCAGAATTTCCTTCTTTTTTGAGACTGAATAATATTCCTTTGTATGTATATACCACACTTTGCCGTCTTTGTATAGGATTTGTGTGCTTTGTGTGTGGCACTTTTCCTGCTTTAAGAACGGGTCCTGGGGTTATTTCTCTATGAGGTTATAATAACACTAATAGCTAACATTTAGCTGACAGTCTGTCTGGCACATAGAGGTGATAAATATTTATGAAAGAATGATTTATGTGCTGGGCATTTTACACAGAATCATCACAACACGCCGAGGTAAACGATGTTTCATAGATGAAGAAAGGAGGCTTATAGACATTAAATTTGTTCATTTACTCAACAAATATTTGAGTGCCTGCTGTATTCCAGGCCCTGTCCTCGTGAACTTTATAGAGGGTGAGACACAAAGAAAAACTTAGACATATTCATAAAATAATAAGTTGCAATGAAGGAAACAAATTAGAGGCTAAAAGAGAGACTATTGGATGGGGACTTACTTTAGATAAGAAGGCCTCTCAGAAGTGGTGATGCTCAAGCTGATATGTGAAAACTGGGGTGGGGGACGATGTTCCAGGCAGAGGAAACATGATGTGTGAAGGTCCCGAGGCAGGAAAGAGTTGGGTGTTTATCAGAGACAAAAGCAGCATGGCCACAGTCCAGGGAAGGGAAAGATCAGTCAATGGAAAGTCAGCAGTGGCCAGATTGCTCAGGGCCTTGAGGGCCGTGGTGAGGTGTCTTGACCTTAAGCTGAGCCTGTGGAAAGCCACTGAGTAAGACAGTTACTCTGGCTGCCTTGGGAAGAGTGGACTGGAGAAGACAAGTGGTAGGACCAGTGAGGAGGCCTTTGAGGTCATCCCAGTGCAAGATGCAGGTGAACAGGTGGTGGCTCTGGAGATAAAGAGAAAACTCTTGATGTTTTAGAGAGGGAGAATTGATAGGAGTTGCTGATGGAATGGATGTGGGAGTGGGGGAAGAGGGAGGAGTCAAGGATGGCCAGCAGGTATCTGGCCAGAGTGGAATCAGTGGAAGGTGGTGCCGTTTACTGAAAAGGGAGAGAGGTGAGAGGAGGGAGGCAGCTTTGCGGGAGAGTGAAGGGACCGATAGTTTTGTTTGGAAACTGTCAAGTTTGTTCTATCCTTGAGACATCCAGTGGAGATGTCAAGAAGGTCAGCTGTTTCCCTGTGAGCTTACAGTAATACGAATAGCTACATAGAAGCACCTAGTAAAATTACAAGTGCATATAGTCTCAGATTCAGCAGTCCCAACTCTGGAAATGTGTCTTACAGACACGCTTCACATATGTTTGAGGTGACATATGTATGCGGTTATTTATTGCAGCATTGATTATTGTAGCAAATAGCAAAAGATTGGAACCAAGCCAACTAGCTATCAATAGGGAACTAATTAAATTGTGGTCCAAGCAATGGAATACTATGCAACTGTATAAATAGGAGGAGGGAGTGCTTTATGTACTTACATGGAAAAATTGAGATGTATTGTTAAATGAATAAAGGAAGCTACAGAAAAGTATATTTAATAAGCCGTATTTAATGTGGGGGAAATAATACATACTCATACATCTTTGCTTATGTTTACAAACTAATGCAAAATGGTTATTTGCTGGGGGGTAGGGTGTGAGTGAGATTAAGTACAATCAATCTTTTTCTTATTCTTAGAATTTTGAATCAGATGGCTGACTTACCTACTTAAAAGCAGTTAGTAGCCAGTATTGACTGAGCACGTACTGGTAGGCAGGGACATTGTATACAGCCTCTGTCCCTCACAACAATGTAAAATATACGTTGTATTTTGCATGTTAGAGACGAGGCTCAGAGAAGTTAAGTGTCTGGTTTGAGGCAGCACACTGAGTAAATGGCCGACTCTGGGTTTGATCACGGGTCTTTTTGGCTCCAAAGCCTTCGCTTCCTCTTTTCCCTGAGGTTGTGTGTGGGGTTTTTGTTTTTGTTTTTGTTTTGTTTTTTTATTTGCGGTACGCGGGCCTCTCACTGTTGTGGCCTCTCCCGTTGCGGAGCACAGGTTCCTGACGCACAGGCTCAGCGGCCATGGCTCACGGGCCCAGCCGCTCCGTGGCATGTGGGATCTTCCCGGACTGGGGCACGAACCCGCGTCCCCTGCATCGGCAGGCGGACTCTCAACCACTGCGCCACCAGGGAAGCCCGTGTGTGGGGTTTTGTATGTGGGCTTCCTGCCTGGTGGCTGCTTGCCTGACAACCACTTCTCTCCTACAGACCCTCATTGGGGACATTGACAATGCCATGAGGACCTTCCTCAACTACTACACCGTCTGGAAGCAGTTTGGGGGGCTCCCGGAATTCTACAACATTCCTCAGGGATATACAGTGGAGAAGCGAGAGGGTTACCCGCTTCGACCGGGTAAGCAGCATCTCTGGCCTACTGCCAGCCCACAGGCTCTGATTCTCAGAATCCCAACCCCTCGCATATCTATGAGGCTCCATGCCTCACAAGTGCTCACAGCTCCATTTTTTTCCCATCTGCTTCTTCCAGTGGCTCTGGATGGTTTTCCTTCTAGGAATTATTTATCCCCCTTATTTTCAGAGAAGGAGACGGAAGCCTAGTGGGTTGAAATGGCTTGCCCAAGGCTGTTAAGTATAGGAGCTAGGACTGGAACCCAGGTCTCCTAATTACATCTTATGCTCTTTCAAACCCAGACAAGCAAGTGAGATGGAAAAAGCCAGGCTGACGCCTTTTGAGTTCTTGCCATTGGGATTTCAGATGTGGAGGCACACTTTGTTAAGTCAGTGGGTCAGGTCAGATAAGTTGTGCATCTATGGAACGTTAGAACTTTGGAATGGACTTTAGGAGTGAATCATCTCTTCTTGTCCACCTCCCCACTTGCAGGTCAGCAGTCAAGATGTAGAGAAGAAAGGGACAACACACTTGAGAACTCTCCTAAGTTCCTTTCCAGCTCCGATCTTATGACTCACTGAAGGAAAGTTAAACATTGTGAGGAGAGGAAGGGAAAGGGGGACAGAGGAAGGAAGCTGAGTCAGCACACAGTCATCTCCCCTCCCCCCCTAAAATAGGTTACATTCCCATTGTTTTAGACTCTTCCTACCTGAATGCCTTTTAGCTGTGGGATGGGCCTTCTAATGGGTTCTGCCCATCCTGCCATCCTCGGCTCCACTTCCTTCCTCCTCTAACCCTGTAGTCCTCTAAGTGATTGCTGTAGGAGTCTTGGAGGCGGACCAGAAGCGGGAGTAAAGCAGCAACTGGAAGCAGCAAATTAGTCACTTTTGACTCCTTAGAGGCTGCTGTTTTTAGTATTTCTCATGCATTTATTCTCATGGCATTTTTTTTTTTTAAAGAGAAAATACTCAGATGGTATTGGATCCCATGTTACCAATAGATAAAATGAAGACAGAGATTGGGACTAAATGTAAGACTTAGACATGTGCATTCTCAAGGTTAGAGGGAACCTGAGAGGTCTTCTAATCGAAATCCCCCTGCAATAGCCCTGTCAAGTGGTTATCTCATCTTCGTTTGATTACCACCAGTGACAGGGGGCTCACTACTTAAGGAGGCAACATGTTTTGTTTGCAGGAATGCTCAGTGGAAAGCAAGGTACCACAGCCAGGAATCCAGAAATGTCTTAGACCAGTCACCCTTCCTATCCCAAAACAATAGCAAATGGGAGATAAGGTACTATTCTATGATTAGATTGGCCAGTCCCTGACGCTCTGGTGCATGTATCCGATCAGCAGTGCTGGAGCACAGAACCTAGCCTAAAAGCCTCTGAAGGGCTTAACCTCCACCTAAGTCCAAATCTAAACCTTGGGCTGTCACCCTCTTCTAGAGAGTTGGCTAGATATACAGGAAATTAAAGCATTTACTAGCAAACACAGGCCCATGTGTGAGGAAGAGAAAACAAGAAACAAGATACTTGAGTATCTCGTTTACTGAGTATACTGAGTCAGCCAGCTGTGAGAAGCATAAGGAGAGGCTTCCCATGAGGACACCATCTTTTCTGTCTTTGAACACACACAGTGTGTTCATCTACCAGTAAATGTGCCCCAATCTTTGCTTAGAATACGAGTGATTAGATTAGCCAGTGTCTAGAGGCCTGTGGGGTAAACAGAGAGAGAAGTAGGAGAAAACTGGAGAGATAGGCAGCGATCTTTTCTCCAAAAATAAGTAATGGAGTTTGCAGTAAAAAATCAAAAGGGGGAAAAGTACTGATCAAGGGCTAGGAGGAAACGGGATGTAGAACATCAGGAGGAGACGTTGGTATAGGGAGGGGAGAGGTGTTCTTTCCTCTCTGAGAAAAAAGAGGTGAAGAAGTAGGAAAGTCTGTTGAGCTGTAGCTTTTGCCTACTGGGCCCACCCTAGAAATCAAATCTTTTCCATAACAGCTCTCTAGATATCTGAAAGCAACAAACACATTTTGCTAAGTTTTCTTTTCTCTGGAATAAATATTCCCATCTGGTCCAATTCCTGTTGACTAGTTGGCGAATATTCATCTTATGATGGGGCCCATGTGTGAACGTCAAATTCCAGTTGTGGTGTAGAACAGGGCAAGACTGTTGCCTTGTTCTGGGCACAGAGAACTGATGGCTGCATCTTTGTTAGATTGAAAGTTGATTCTTGAGTATCTTAACCTTTATCTTTTGGCCTATCCCATCTTGGAAAGGGCCTTGTAATGACAGGCTCATACTCTTTTAAGTTTTAGGATTAGGTTAGGCTGTAAGTGACAGATACAAAGTAGTAGCTTAGATAAAATAGAAATTTATTTCTCCGGTCTTACATGACTGTCTTTGGTGGCAGGGACCTTAATCCCACACCTGCCTGCTGGGAATAGTTGTTAGTCTAGGCGTCCATGTGCTTGGATAAAGTTAGCTCTTCTGTTACTAAGGAAGAAGGAGGGAACAGATATTGGGAGATAGGCAGCCGCCTCTGCCACCTTCCCTATCCCAGAACCTGGCTGCCTGTCTCTCCCTTGGGATGGGATTCCATGGTCCACTAAGTCCACTAAGCTTCAGACTGGGTATATTGGCTCTGAAGATTCAGTATTGAGTGAGTTGTCCCATGTTCCCCCTAGTTGGACCCTGTGGACATGGTGTGGAGAGAAGGAATCTCTCACTGGCCCAGGCAGTCCCCAAGCCTTCTCTGCCCAGCCACTGGGTGAAGGAAGGTCTACTTTGAACTTTGCAGAACTCATTGAGAGCGCCATGTACCTCTACCGTGCCACGGGGGACCCCACCCTCTTAGAACTCGGAAGAGATGCTGTGGAATCCATCGAAAAAATCAGCAAGGTGGAATGTGGATTTGCCACAGTAAGTGTTTCCACGGGCCCAAGAATTGGGAAATGTCTCCCCCTGCTGCTAAAGAGCCTCTGGAATATTAGCACTGGAAGGAACCTTAGAGATATAAGCAATGCCTTTATTTTATAGATGGGGAGACTGAGGAGCAGAAGCTGAGAGCCTTGCTAAAGGTCACAGAGCTAGTAGAGGTGGAGCTAGGATTAGTTCCCAGGGGTCTTGACTCCATGCCCTTGGCGTTCTCCCTGCTTCATAGATCCTTTAGCTGTCAGAATAGGCTACTTGGCAAGGGTGAGTATTGTGAAACATTTTACGAAAAGGCTTGTAAAATGGATTCTAGAAGGGAATTACAGAGTCCCATAGCCTTATTTGCAAACCCAGGGATCCTTAATGGAACAGCTGTACTGGTCTCACAGATATTTACTGAGCGTCTTTCACGGGCCAGGCGCTGTGCTAGGCTGAGGGTTATAGCAATGAAGAAAGACCAAGCCCCTGAGCTGACATTTTAGTAGAAAAAACAAAGAATGTGTATCTGGAAGACAGAAAGAAGGCCAGTGTGGCTGGAGGGCGTGAGCAGGGAGGAAAGTGGGAGGAGATACAGCCCCAGAAGTAGGCAGCGGCTAGATTGTGCAGGGCTTTGTATAAGTCGTGGGGAAGAGTTTGGCTTTTGTTCTGCTTGGAATGATAAGCCTTGGGAGCATTTACAGCAGAGCAGTGACGTGCTCTGATTTGTATTTTAGAAAGAGCACTCTGGCTGCTCTGTGGGGAATGGACTGAAAGGGTTAAGGATGAGAGCCATGTCACATCCTGAGAGGACCCAGGCAGGCAAGACAGAAATAAACAGTGGTTACAGACATGTAGAAACCAAATGTGTAAGCAAATAGCCTGGAAGCCTATTTGCCAAAAAGCCTGCAGAGGTTTTTTTTAGGGTAAGGAATTAAAAACAAACAAAAACCTTCTTTTTCAAAAAGTTGTAATGTGATTATATTCTATAAGTAAAACATAGATACATGTTTTTAAAGAAAAGACCTATATGTGTAGGAGAAATATACAGCAATGATATGTCTTAGTTTCTAATATGTTGTATTTTATGAAAAGCCAAAGTGGATGAGCCCGTTGGGCCCTTAGGAACTCTTGACTTATTTCCATGAAAATGAAGTCTTTTGGAGCCCTTCCAAGGCGAATGATGGGAACAGGCAACTGACTCCTTGGCCTTTGGCAAACAGGGCAAGAGAATAATAATTCTTGGTACATCAAGTCCATGTTTTAGTCACATTTTTTTGGTGTAAAATAGATGTCTACTGAGAATTAGTTTCGTTTAAGAAAATGTATTCCTAATTCTGAGAAGCTAAAATAAATATTTGTAGCAAGTAAACTTACTCATCCCTGACTGTAAACTCAGTATGAATTTCTCTTCATAAAGACTCCTAATTAGTTGTTTATAAGAGCAAAAAACTTGGTAACCTCCTTGATGTCTGTCAAGGGAGGATTAGCTAAGTAAATGATGCTACATTTTTGCATCATTAAGAAGGGAATGATTAGATCAATGTTTAGAGTCACAAAAGGGTAAGGTAAAGGGGTTAGGAGATTGTTGTATCATGTAGGGGGGCCAGGGAAGACCATTCTGATGAGGTAGCATTTGAGCAGAGACCTGAAGGAAGTGAAAGAGTGGGAGGGCATCTGAAGGAGGAGTGTTCCAGGTTGCGAGGACACCAATGAAAAGAACCGGGCTGGGCATGTGCTTGTTCACAGAACAGAAAGGCCATGTGGCTGGACCTGCGAGAACCAGGGAGAGAGCAGGAAGAGATGAGGTCAGGGAGGGAGCAGAAGCCAGATCACCAAGGACCTGTTAGGCCACGATAAGGACTTTGATTTTAGTCTGTGGGCAATGGGATGTCAACAGAGGGTTTTCCGTGAAGGAGTGACAGGTAAGATTTATGATATAAATATACTTTAGGGACAAAGTTCTGGAAAGTTAAGTGATTTGCCCAAAGGCCTGCAGTCACCTAGTGGCAGAGCAGGAATGCCTGACAGGGTCCCCTGACCCTTTCTGCTGTACTGTGATGCTGGTCTGACTTGCTTCCCTCCCCCACGTGGCAGATCAAAGATCTGCGAGACCACAAGCTTGACAACCGCATGGAGTCTTTCTTCCTGGCCGAGACCGTGAAATACCTCTACCTGCTGTTTGACCCGACCAACTTCATCCACAACAATGGCTCCACCTTCGATGCGGTGATAACCCCCTACGGGGAGTGCATCCTGGGGGCCGGGGGTTACATCTTCAACACTGAAGCACACCCCATTGACCCCGCCGCCCTGCACTGTTGCCGGAGGCTGAAGGAAGAGCAGTGGGAAGTAGAAGATCTGATGAGGGAATTCTACTCTCTCAAACGGAATAGGTCGAGATTTCAGAAAAAAACTATGAGCTCAGGGCCATGGGAACCCCCAACAGGGCCAGGGACATTGTCCTCCCCTGAAAACTATGACCGGGCAAGGGAGAAGAAGCCCACCAAGCAGAAAATCCCACTTCTCAGCTGCCCTAGTCAGCCCTTTACCTCAAAGTTGGCATTACTGGGACAGGTTTTCCTAGATTCCTCATAACCACTGGATGATACTTTGTTTGTTTTTGAAACTAAACTATAACAATAAATCTGCTTTTGATGATCATGGTTTTCTATTTTACATATTGGATCATTTCATGAGATTTCATTCAAAGAAAGGGTTCATGGCTAAAAACAATTGCGAATCTAGTTTGTTTTTCTCATACAGTTGGAGAAACAGCTAAACATAAAAGACTCCAGGGGTTGATAATTGAATCTCCCTTCCTTTCAAAGTTCCCATTTTCTGGAGGGTGTTATAAATGTATTTGTTAGTTCTTTTCTGGGGGAGAGGGATTTTCATTTTTTACTTTTTATTTGAAGTATAGTTGACTTACAAAATTACATAAGTTCCAGGTGTACAACATAGTGATTAGATATTTTTATACATTACAAAATGATCACCACGATAAGTCTAGCTACCATCTGTCACCATACAAAGTTATTACAGTATTACTGACTATATTCCCTGTGCTGTACATTACATCCCTGTGACTTATTTATTTTATAACTGGAATTTTGTACCTCTTAATCTCCCTCACGTATTTCATTCTTCCCCCCACCCCACCACCCCTCTGGCAACCACCAGTTTGAGTTTGTTTCTGTTTTGTTATGTTTGTTCATTTGTTTTGTTTTTTTATGTTTCACATAAGTGAAATCATATGGTATTTGTCTTTCTCTGACTTTCTTCCCTTAACATAATATCATCTAGGTCCATCCATATTTTTACAGAGGGCAAGATTTCATTCTTTTTTGTGGCTGAGTAAATATTCCACTGCGTGTGCACACGTGTGTGTGTGTGTGTGTGTGTGTACACAAACCACATCTTTTTTATTTTCAACATCTTTATTGGAGTATAATTGCTCTACAATGGTGCGTTAGCTTCTGCTGTACAACAAAGTGAATCACCCATACGTATACACATATTCCCATATCCCCTCCCTCTTGGGTCTCCCTCCCACCCTCCCTATCCCTCCCCTCTAGGTGGTCACAAAGCACCAAGCTGATCTCCCTGTGCTATGCAGCTGCTTCCCACCAGCCATCCATTCTACATTTGGTAGTGTATATATGTCCATGCCACTCTCTCACTTCGTCCAAACCACATCTTTATCCATTCATCTATTGGTGGACATTTAGGTTGCTTTCATATCTTGACTATTGTAAGTAATGCTGCAATGAACATAGGCATGCATAATCTTTTCAAATTAGTGTTTTTGTTTATTTCAGATAAATGCCAGAAATGGAATCGCTGGATCTTATGGTAGTTCTATTTTTATTTTTTTGAGGAATCTCCATACTGTTTTCCACAGTGGCTGCATCAATTTACATTCCCACCAACAGTGCACAGGGGATCCCTTTTCTCCACATCCTCGCCCACACTTGTTATTTGTTGTCTTTTTGATGATAGCCATTCTGACAGGTGTGAGGTAATATCTCATTGTGTTTTGATTTGCATTTCCTGATGATCAGTGATGGTGAGCATCTTTTCATGTGTTTGTTGGTTATCTGTATGTCTTCTTTAGAAAAATGTCTATTCAGGTTCTCTTTCCATTATTTAATTGGGTTGGTTGTTTGTTTTGGCATTATATTCATTTAATGTTCATGTATTATTGAATACATACAAAAGATTATATATTCTTTTTTTGAATTTTATTTTATTTTTTTATGTAGCAGGTTCTTATTAGTTATCTATTTTATACATATTAGTGTATACATGTCAATCCCAATCTCCCAATTCATCCCACCACCACCGCACCCCACCCCCACTTTCCCCCCTTGGTGTCCATACGTTTGTTCTCTACATCTGTGTCTCTATTTCTGCCTTGCAATGCAGTTCATCTATACCATTTTTCTAGATTCCACATATATGTGTTAGTATACAATATTTGTTTTTCTCTTTCTGACTTACTTCACTCTGTATGACAGTCTCTAGGTCCATCCACGTCTCTACAAATGACCCAATTTCATTCCTTTTTATGGCTGAGTAATAGTCCATTGTATATATGTACCACATATTCTTTATCCATTTTTCTGTCGATGGACATTTAGGTTGCTTCCATGACCTGGCTATTGTAAATAGTGCTGCAATGAACATTGGGATACATGTGTCTTTTTGAATTATGTTTTTCTCTGGGTATATGCCCAGTAGTGGGATTGCTGGGTCATATGGTAATTCTATTTTTAGTTTTTTAAGGAACCTCCATACTGTTCTCCATAGTGGCTGTATCAATTTACATTCCCACCAACAGTGCAAGAGGGTTCCCTTTTCTCCACACCCTCTCCAGCATTTGTTGTTTGTAGATTTTCTGATGATGCCCATTCTAACCAGTGTGAGGAAATACCTCATTGTAGTTTTGATTTGCATTTCTCTAATAATTAGTGATGTTGAGTAGCTTTTTATGTGCCTCTTGGCCATCTGTATGTCTTCTTTGGAGAAATGGCTATTTAGGTCTTCTGCCTGTTTTTTGATTATGTTGTTTGTTTTCTTAATATTGAGCTGCATGAGCTGTTTATATATTTTGGAGATTAATCCTTTGTCCATTGATTCATTTGCAAATATTTTCTCCCATTCTGAGGGTTGTCTTTTCATCTTGTTTATAGTGTCCTTTGCTGTGCACATGCTTTTAAGTTTCATTAGGTCCCATTTCTTTATTTTTATTTCCATTACTCAAGGAGGTGGGTCAAAAAAGATTTATGTCATACAGTGTTCTGCCTATGTTTTCCTCTAAGAGTTTTTATAGTGTCTGATCTTACATTTAGGTCTTTAATCCATTTGGAGTGTATTTTTGTGTATGATGTTAGGGAGTGTTCCAAATTTATTCTTTTACATGTAGCTGCACAGTTTTCCCAGCACCATTTATTGAAGAGACTGTCTTTTCTCCATTGTATATCCTTGCCTCCTTTGTCATAGATTAGTTGACCATAGGTGAGTGGATTTATCTCTGGGCTTTCTATCCTGTTCCATTGATCTATATTTCTGTTTTTGTGCCAGTACCATACTGTCTTGATTACTGTAGCTTTGTAGTAGAGTCTGAAGTCAGGGACTCTGATTCCTCCAGATCCATTTTTTTCCCTCAAGATTGCTTTGGCTATTCATGGTCTTTTGTGTTTCCATAAAATTTTTAAGATTTTTTGTTCGAGTTCTGTAAAAAATGCCACTGGTAATTTGACAGGGATTGCACTGAATCTGTAGATTGCTTTGGGTAGTATACTCATTTTCACAATATTGATTCTTCCAATCCAAGAACATGGTATATCTCTCCATCTGTTTGTGTCATCTTCAATTTCTTTCATCAGTGTTTTATAGTTTTCTGAGTACAGGCCTTTTATCTCCTTAGGTAGGTTTATTCCTAGGTATTTTATTCTTTTTGTTGCAGTGGTGAATGGGATTGTTTTCTTAATTTCTCTTTCTGATCTTTCATTGTTAGTGTATAGGAATGCAAGAGATTTCTGTGCATTAATTTTGTATCCTGCAACTTTACCAAATTCATTGATTAGCTCTAGTAGTTTTCTGGTGGCATCTTTCAGATTGTCTGTGTATAGTATCATGTCATCTGCAAACAGTGACATCTTTACTTCTTCTTTTCTGATTTGGATTCCTTTTATTTCTTTTTTTTCTCTGATTGCCATGGCTAGGACTTCCAAAGCTATGTTGAATAATAGTGGCGAGAGTGGACATCCTTGTCTTGTTCCTGATCTTAGAGGAAATGATTTCAGTTTTTCACGATTGAGAATGATGTTTGCTGTGGGTATGTTGTATATGGGCTGTATTATGTTGAGGTAGGTTCCCTCTATGCCCACTTTCTGGCGAGTTTTTATCATAAATGGGTGTTGAATTTTGTCAAAAGCTTTTTCTACATCTGTTGAGATAATCACATGCTTTTTATTCTTTAATTTGTTAATGTGGTTTATCACACTTATTAATTTATGTATATTGAAGAATCCTTGCATCCCTGGGATAAATCCCTCTTGATCATGGTATATGATCCTTTTAATGTGTTGTTGGATTCTGTTTGCTAGTATTTTGTTGAGGGTTTCTGCATATATACTCATCAGTGATATTGGTCTGTAATTTTCTTTTTTTGTAATATCTGTGTCTGTTTTTGGTATCAGGGTGATGGTGGCCTTGTAGAATGAGTTTGGGAGTGTTCCTTCCTCTGCAGTTTTTTGGAAGAATTTGAGAAGGATGGGTGTTAGCTCTTCTCTAAATGTTAGAATTCACCGCTGAAGCCATGTGGTCCTGGACTTTTGTTTGTTGGAATATTTTTAATAACAGTTTCAATTTCATTACTTGTGGTTGGTCTATTCCTATTTTCTGTTTCTTCCTGGTTCAGTCTTGGAAGGTTATACTTTTCTAAGAATTTGTCCATTTCTTCCAGGTTGTCCATTTTATTGGCATAGAGTTGCTTGTAGTAGTCCCTTAGGATACTTTGTATTTCTGCGGTGTCTGTTGTAACTTCTCCTTTTTCATTTCTAATTTTATTGATTTGAGTCCTCTCCTTCTTTTTCTTGATGAGTCTGGCTAAAGGTTTATCAGTTTTGTTTATCTTCCCAAAGAACCAGCTTTTAGTTTTATTGATCTTTGCTATTGTTTTTTTTGTTTCTGTTTCTTTAATTTCTGCTCTGATCTTTATGATTTCTTTCCTTCCACTAACTTTGGGTTTTGTTTGTTCTTCTTTCTCTAGTTCCTTTAGGTGTAAGGTTAGATTGTTTATTTGAGATTTTTCTTGTTTCTTTTTTTTTTTTTTTTTTTTGCAGTATGTGGGCCTCTCACTGTTGTGGCCTCTCTTGTTGCGGAGCACAGGCTCCGGGCGCACAGGCTCAGCGGCCATGGCTCACGGGCCCAGCCGCTCCGTGGCATGTGGGATCTTCCCGGACCAGGGCACGAACCCATGTCCCCTGCATCGGCAGGCGGACTCTCAACCACTGCTCCACCAGGGAAGCCCTTTTCTTGTTTCTTGAGGTAGGATTATATTGCTATAAACTTCCCTCTGAGAACTGCTTTTGCTGCATCCCGTAGGTTTTGGATTGTCGTATTTTCATTGTCATTTGTCTCTAGGCAGTTTTTGA